TTTGAAACAGAACTTTTTTCCTCTGGACTCTTGGTAAGAAAGAACATACACAATATAAATACCCACACCTGCCTATATAATAAGATAAACTGAAGAAAAAAATTAACATTTTAAAGCTATATAAGAAGAAACAGAAAGCCGATTATCTTAAATACAGAGAATGAGCAGGCAAGAAGGATAAAGGAGGGTGTGTAGCAGATTTTCACCAGGGTCTGATTTACTTATGTGACCCCTGGGAGCCACTGTCGGCCTGTGAAATGTCCCAGAGGCAAAGGACCTGTGCTCCAGTCAGATGTGCCTCCTCTGCATCATCTGTGTGTGAGACAGAGACACGGAGTGGTGGGCAGGGGAAAGACACTCGGCTGGGAAAGCTGGAAGGTTGCTTCACTTTAACAGAAAGACCATTTTCTTTGGGTAGGCACAGTGTCCTTGTACCCCTGCTGTGAGTGCTGCAGGAGCCTGAGCCTGTTAACTCAGCAGGGGACAGGCTCTGGTCTCAGTGGCTCCGGGTCACTCACACTGGTTGAAATCTGGCAGCTGGAAACTGTCTGCCCAGCTGGCATGCCAGTGGAATAGCAGGAATAGTATTACAGAATTTGTGGTGGAGAATATGGGTGTGGGTTAGGGTATGGTGGGTATGGGTGTGGAGTTAGAGCTTGAACAGGTGGACAGATGTTGTAAGAATGCATAATTAAATTAACAAAAGCTGGATAGTGGAATCTGTAGAATCTTCTGGCATCCCAAGGTCCACATTCAGCAGCAGTTCTATCACCATTTGCAAACTACTGAATCTGACAGGTAGAGACCAGTGTTGAATTTGGGATGTCAGCTCAGAAAAAGAGGGCTCTTTTCTGAGTCTCTCTCCATGAGGCCTCTGTTGTGAGCTTAAGACAGCACCATCGGCCATCTACAGGTAATTAACATTCCAGTGTGAGGTAATTAACATTTCAGTTCCACCGTGTCTTTCTTGTGCACAAGGCAATGTGTGTAGCTGTAATGAGCTCTGGCTTCTGGAGGGAGCAGCGTTCAGGCCAGAGGCACAAGAGGTGGGATGGGAATGCCCAGGTGGGTGCTGCCAGCTTAGCTCTGCTGAATCCACCTGGTTTGTAAATTGGTAACCACTTTTATTAACCAAAACTCAGGTTCCTGGTTTCCAGTGCCATAGACCCAGTGATGCCTGTAAGAAATCTATTCCAGTATGACAGAATCACAGAATGATTGGGCTTGGAAGGGACCTCTGGAGATCATCTGGTCCAACTCCCCAGCCAAAGCAGGGTCACCAAGAACAGGTGACACAGAAGGCATTCAGGTGGGTTTGTGATGTCCCCACAGAAGGAGACCCCACAACCTCCCTGGGCAGCTGTCCCAGTGCTCTGCCACCCTCAACATAAAGCTCTTCCTCGTGTTGAGGTGAAACTTCTTGTGTTCCAGTTTAAGGCCATTGATCCTTATCCCATCACTGGGCACTAGTGAGAAAGAGTTTTCTCTTCAGACTAAACAGGCCCAGCTCCCATATCTGCCCTCTTAAGAGACGCTGCAGGCCCCTCATCATTCTTGTGGCCTCTGCTGGACCCTCTCCAGTGACTCCTGGTCTGTTGTGCTGAGGAGCAGCTGGACAAGTGATAAGGCTCGGGGCTTGTAATTAAATGTGGCGGACTCGGCAGTGCCGGGTTAGTGGCTGGACTCAACGTGCGGGTCTTTTTCGCCCTGAAGGACTGACCGCCGCCTCAGGCGATTAAAGCAGGCAGGGCTGGCGGGGAATCCCTGCCCAGCCCCACTCGGTGACCGGCCTGGGGTGGGAACCGGTTTGGGAGCGGCCAGGCAGGACCAGAGGCGGGCGCGGCACCGCGGCCGGGGGAGAGGGGCCGGGACGGGCCTGTGAAGGTCTCTGAGGGTCCGTGAGGGCCG